AAAAGGGGCGGGGCTACATAAGAGAATGAGGAGTCACGTCACGTGCCGATTTGGGTGGGGTCTGAGCCGGTCGCCATGCTGGTAGGAGACGCTATCGGTTGCCAGAGGCAACGCCTTCACAGAGGCGCAACTAAACATTACAGAGCTCTTTAATAGCTGCGTTGCATTCTGGGACGTGGCGGCCATGTTGACAGCTTCGCAAATGTAAAATACCAGCAAGTCGAACGAGGAGAAGCAGCTGAGTTGGGAGAAAGAAAATTAAAAAAGATGTTAAAATCCCTGGAAGCATGCAGAATTTACCGGGATACGTTTAATAGGGAAACCAGGGACCGTATGTGGATAAAACGGCACTTTTAACGGGTTGGATCCATTTGAAATTTCCAACAAACAGTGGGAGCACAGTAACGTTACGTTACGCTAACTTAATCCGGACAAAGGTAAACTGCACTCCACCTAGCTATTAGTTTAGTAACAGTTATAGTCCTAACAACCATTCACACATGTAACATACTTTTAACTATGTGCTTCAAAAGTGTAGTTAGTAACGTTAGCTGTTTTAAGCAAAACTTAAAGATCCTATATGTAACTTTTTTTATAAAATGAATCCTTTTTTTATTCCCTGTGTTTGAAGGGGTTGTAATCACACACTGCAATGATCCACTTTTCGGGTTATGCTATTACCTCTGAAGGCCAATATTCATATTTAAATGCGAGGTCTCCGGGTCGGATTTCCTGCGAAATCCATCAGATGTGACGTGCAAGCGCGCTCCTGAGCCTCTCTATCCTTATTACAGTCTATGGACCAACGGCACTTCAGCTGACGACATGGAGTCTGATAATAACACCCCAAAACGTCCTGCCTCCAGTACAACACAGACTCAAACTCCAAAAAAAAAAAAAAAAAAAAAACACATAAAAAATATAAAAGTTTTATCTGCTGAAGCTCGTCAGGCAAAACGTGAATCTGATCGACTCCGGACGAAAACGCGGATCAACATCAGCAACAACATATTAGTAAACTCTAGTGAAATAGCAAGGTAAACTACATGAAACATGAAATGAATACAAAAGACTGTTCCAGGATAACAAAAAGTAGGTGCTTTAGGATGTAACTTATTTTATTTACTAGATCTACTGACTAACGACTTCATCCCACTACTATCATATTCACATTTCCAGACACGTTCAGTACAGTAATGTTACTTCATACGATCTTACTGTTACACTGAAGTTGTTCACTAGTCTAGTTCACTAACCGTTTTCGTTATCATATTATACATTTACCTATGTTGACATTGCTGATTGTGAAAGATACACGAATAGTTATTGAAATGGCTTATGCTATATAACATCACATGTTGGCTAAATGCAGTTTATTGTAACATTATCATGGTACAAGCACAGAGCATTAGTTCAACGTTAAGTTGATAAAAGTAGGCTATTATTGTAACTGCAGTGGGAGTTTACATTAGTTTCCAGCATGTTGTGATGCTTTCTCCGTTGCGTTGAAAGTCTCCGTGTGGCCGGTAGTGAATGCTCGCTCTTGAGATCGAGCACGCACAAGCACACGAGCGCTCTTGTTGCATTCTGAAACATCACCGCTAGAGGCTGCTAAAAACCGCATAGAGCACCTTTAAGTTAGTAAGCAAAATGATGTTTAAAGCAAGAGGGTAGCAACCATAGACATCATATAGGTAGACACCCTATCGACTGCTACTGCCTATTTGCACGGACGAGAATTGGATCTTAAACCGGTCATCCGCTCCACTCAGTGTAATCTGAATGGCAAGTGAAATGAGCTGTCAGCGCATTAAATTAATAATATCTCACTGAATACTGAACTCTCTCTCTCTCACACACACACACCGAACGCAGCCACCTGTAATAAAAATTGAGAAGAAGCTGTGTTCAATGTGTTTGCATCAGTAATTTCTAAAAATTAAATTCAGACAACATTAAGCCTATACATTTTTATTGTATGTGGATGTGGGAGAGGAAAATGTCGAGACTAAAGCCCTATTCGGATTAAGTTTACAAGGGTAGATGAAGTAAGTTAATTAAGTAATTTTACCACAGGACTTCTGTAATATCAATAGCCAAATCGCATGTGATAAGACATAGGTTATCAATAAAACTAGAAGTTGGAGGGGTAACTCAATTTGCGCATCGCTGTCATGCGTGTATTACTTTGCTTCCTGATATCATGTGCGCAAACACAAATAACCTATACAACAGGGCAGTTAAATGCTTATCTGATAACCTAGAAGCTCTTGTACTTTAACAGTTACCCCACCTCTCCATGCCGGGTGAACACCGGCTGATGAAGTAAACAGCATTCCACAACGATTTCAGTACAGAAATAGCAAATATCCTTGCTCCTTCTCGATTATCTGGTAATATTCTATTCACAAAAATACAACCAATAGTACGGTAATGTTAAGATTTACTTGTGAAAAGCCCTATTTTCAGTGGTCCGGCGATTAGAACGGGAAAATGTTCCACAATGCTCTGGCATCTTATCTGCTGCCACGCAACCAAACTAGGAAGAAGACCGGTTCAAGATGGCGGCCGGATTTCTCGGTTTCCAGCGACCAATTGACCATATGCACAGCTGCACTACTTCCTGAACTTAAGCCAGCTCCTTGTTTCCTGTCTGCCATTATTGGCCGAACTTGATTAATTCAGATGTGTCTGACTATTGTTGCCGTGACTACCGAGGTCAGGCACACCTGGATTAATCAATTTGTCCAATAATGACAGACAGGAAACAAGGAGCTGGCTTAATGCCGCGTTCCAGGCAACCTGTAACTCGTGTTTTTCCAACCTTATACTCGTGAAAGTGCACTGGAACGGCAGTCAAACCCGTGACTTCCCACCCGTGAACTCGTACTAGACCGACGTACTCCCAGTTACGAGTCCTGACGTCACATAGCCCGCGAACATATAGAAAACTGCAATGACAGCCCCTACGGATGCAGTGTTTCTGCAGGCGGTACTCAGTGAGAATCTCACTTTAGGACAATATAACGTTAACTAGTTTTCAGTCCATTGAGTGCAAGGATAAAATAATACCAAATACATTTCCAAATATACAAATAAACATTTCCAAATATACAAATAAAGTAAAATAAAAGGTATAACAGCTTATCTTGCCTCATGCGCTATTTTTCCTCCTCAGTTTCCCACAAATAAACAAGGAGTAAGCACCTTTGGCGTTAGAAATTATTACAAATGCGCGTGAGCCCCGTAAGGTCCGCCATGCTGGTTTGTTTACATCTAGGTAGTTTGGCATGAATGACCTGGAATGCTACAAAGTCGTAAGTCATGGTTTGAAGTCGTGATTTACGTGCTCAAAAACCTGCCTGGAACGCAGCATAAGTTCAGGAAGTAGTGCAGCTGTGCATAAAGCCAATAGGGTATAGTCTATATGATATCTAGCAACAGGACAACAGAGACTGACAGGTCCGATTAAAGGGCTAATGTTAATGTAATGAGAATATTAAAATACGGGATATTTTACAGGAAAATATACTAAAACGGGAAGACAGCAAGAAAAGCTCAAGTAAGCGAGAAACCCGGAAAAAACGTGAGGGTTGTTGACAGCTAACGTTACCGACCATCTGTCCGGATTACTGTGTGTTCCCACTGTTTACCGACTCTTTGTTGGAAATTTCATATGGATCCAAACCGTTAAAAGTGCCGGTTTAGTCCACATACCGGTCACTGGCTTCCCTATTCAACAATTCCACAACCTTTTAGGGATTTTAACATCTTTTTTCTTTTCTTTATCCCAACTCTGCTGCTTCTCCTCGTTCGACTTGCTGTATGTTTACATCCGCGAAGCTGCCAACAAGGCCGCCATGCCAAGCCCTATTTTCGAGCATTACGCGCATCAAATACGAGAAAGAAAACGAAGAAAGTAAAGCAAAGCAAAAAGATAAGGCGAAAGAAAAGGGACCTTACAGGAACAAGCTCACACCACGCGCAAAACAGCGGCGGTATTTGGAGAAGCTTTCAGGCATCCAAAAAATATCGACATATACGAGCTCTCTGCGGCAGGATGGCACAGAGACCTGGACCATTTACCTCCATGCACATAAATGGACATTGTTAATTATCTTGTTTTTGGTGTAAATTACTACACAATGCAGGAGTTTAAAAGCCACAAGTCTTTGGAAAGTTATGAGGCTTTCTGCTGTGGCTGGGCAGCAATTTAAGATGCACTTCAGGGTTTGCAACAACATTAACGTTAGGTAACCTACACTTCGTAGCTTTAAGAGACAGCAACATAAAGACATATTTTAGAGAACGTACCTGAGTGAAAATGCAGAGAACACACTCTCATCGACACGGGGGTGAGATTGAAAGAAGTAACGTAAAGTCCTTTCTTCTTATTGCAGCCAACCAAGCAATCCGGCGTCTTCTCGTCAGGTCAGAGACTTCGGTAACCTAAAAACTGTATTCCATTGTTCCTATGTTTCCCATTTGTTTCGTGTGAGGTACTAGAGCAGTTTTTAACGCAGCAATGACTTCCAGGCATGGTTAAACAGTGCGGAAATGAAATAACCTCCTCTACTACCAAGTTAACAACACACACAAACAAACAACCAAATTTTGCCGCCGCCGGAAACCTACCAACATGGCGGAGAGGGTAGGGGCTCTGTACCATGACGTCACTTCCTCACTCCCAATAGGCTATGCTTATGTTTTTAGGTCACTTTTGGATTTTAAATTAGGCTATTTTTTATTACATTACACAAAATAGTATATAAAAATTTTAAATACTGTAACTTCCTAGCGAGTGAGAAGGGGTTGCAAATAATCACTCTAAGTAGGAGCCCTGTGCACATGATCCCATTATGTGACTACTTTAAATATCCTGAGGTGGGTTTCTTTGAGATTTTTGACATCATGTCTAACTCTCAAATTCTCACATTCTAAGCATGTAAAAATGAATAACACTACTTCTTGCATACAACAAAGAACCACGACTACGAATAGATGATCATTCAAGGATGTGTTTATTTTGAAAGCATGAAAGTGATTTGAAGAATACAGAGGTGAAAGTGGAGAGAGGCCAGTCCTCAGTGTATTCACAGGTTCACAGTCAACCAAACTGAGAAGAACGTCTGAGAGGATGAGGAAGTCAACAGACACACAACACCAAAGGCAATAGTGAAGCACTATTTCAAAAAAATTGCTTTGAATTGTGTAACACAGTATCTAGTTGCGGTTTTAGTATACATGAATGCTATAAAACTTTTTTTTCCAGACCTACATGAAACATTACTTATACTTTTTTATTTTAGATTTTATCAGTTTGCGCTATTTGAATTTTTATACGAAATCAAAGACAGAAAAACAAATGACATCTCAAAGTCTCAGGGTAGATAGAACGAATAAAGGTATGCGACAGATTTTAGAAGAGAAATATCATTTTATAAGATCAAAGAGAAATGAAAGCTACAAAATGACAATGACACGTGAGATCTAAAGTATATCAGTAGAAGCCTGTGGCAACCCATGCTGAGCATCATTATGAAATCAATAGAGAACTGACAGCATAATTGCATATCAAGGCCTTCTTCAGTCAAACCTCCACTGACTCCTATGATGTTTAGAAGATTACAGCTTGTCACCACTGCACAACAATTACAAATCGTTGGCCACTGGAGGGGAAACTCACTGTTTTTGTTCACCTTAACTGTATGACAAGTTCTAAGTAATAGTACCATTAGGTGCACTGGCTTCATCTGTCCCGCTCAAGTCCTGACCTGCCCGTCCTTCCAAAATGACGTCACTATTGTCAACTTCAATGGAGGACAGTCTAATCAGAAATTGAGTGTTCACATGGACACTGACATTGAGAGTAGCATCACAGTATCGCAGTTGTAGACTATTGCTCATATAAAGAGGTCAACCGTTTCGATTTTGCTTTTCGATAAGCTCTAGTAAACCTATATATCCTCATACCAGCCGCTTCTCTGTGCTAAAATATGTTTGTGTGCGGGCACGGCGGGGGTTCTCTCAGCTGACTTTCTATGACGTTTTTGATTTTTTGAAGGCAACTCAGAGATCAAATATTTTCACGGGAAAAAAAAAGTTTAAATATGTCATTTTGTATTATCAAAGATGAGTTTTAATGGATAAAATTATTGACTATTGACTTAAAAATCTACGAGTTGTAAAGTGTCCTGCTCGGCATGATTTTTAAGGCCCGTTCGCACCATGAATGATAACTATAAAGAGAACTATATTAGCGTCTACAACAGATGATAGTGTTCTGCTTATTTTTCGCACGTACTGTAGTTTTGTCGTCTGCTGCTTTAAATGCTCAAGCTCCTTAAAGTCTTTAAATTGGATTCTGATTGGCAAACAAAGGTTATATATTCATCAGCTGTTGAAAAAAAGTCATTCTGAAAGTAATTCCAATAGTGTTGTTGCTCTGCCGTTATCATTGTTATTGTGATGTGTACTTCCCTATTGTTATCAAATTAAAATAATTATTAAAAGACAACATTACAGTTATCGTCCTTGGTGTGAACAGGCCATGTCCCTGGAAACCTTTAGTCCCATTTAGCCATTTGGTAGCAACCGCATTTAATTGCTGGTATTACTGATGTATTTTATGTTGTACAATAGAATGTAAAAATATCTTGAGCCTCTTAACCACAGACCCCATTCTAAAAGCATTGATTTAGGGACGATCTGAAGTGCAAAAATGCTAACTTGTTTCTGCGTTTTAGAACTCATTCCTGCAGCACTCTATATTTGTCACTGAAAATATTTTGATATAAGACCTAATGTGCCTTTCTTAAAAGAATGGTGGCAATGACTTTAAATAAGGCCCTATTTACATCTGGTATTAAGATGCGTTTTGGTCAAATGGATCACAAGTACCCGTTTACACCTGGTATTTTAATTAGTCTCTTTTGTCCACTTTCAACCACTTCTGTCCTGACTTCTTCGAAAGGAGGGGTCTATGGGCAGATTGGGACAAAATAAGCTCATGCAATTTATATATAAACATGCCCGGAGATGACAGAAAAACATATTGGGAGCAGCAGCTTTCCTTTTTGCTCTGATAGGAATGGTGTATTTTTATGTGTCTTCAGTCGACAAAATTTAGATCCTGTCCGGCTAGCGCGCATCCCATACATGTTAGGTCATGAGGTGGAGAGTAGGAGGTCCTTTTTGGTTGTCCGAACACGACTGTGCAATCCGTTTTTGACCACCTCTGGAAATGGTTGAAAGTGGACAAGCTAAACTCAAAACATATTAGACCTCGTTCACACCTGTATTTAGTGTACTTGACGAAAACGCTTCTTAATGCCACGGCCTAAATACCTAATGCCTACTTGTAATTCAAAAAAGATTTGAGTTCAAGAAAAATGAAGATTATGAGTAAATATTCAGCCCAACGAAAGCATCTCAGAGTAGCCATAAAATGGCCACTTTAACTTGTACATTTATGCCTCCAATGAAATCCTGTTATAAACAAAGATCACTGTGTGTGGCTGTGTACTTTTAAAATGGAAAGGTATATTATTCAAAACATGTACAATGTATGCAAATGAGTATATAATACATTATAAGAACAAATCACATTTCCACTGTTCATGTGGCTAGCTACCAAGCAGATGTGAGGTATTAGTTATGCTTACCAACTCTGCTCCATTTATTGGGCCACACGTCTCAACCACTAAAACACCATTACGAGATGAATTTAGCCGCCTTGGTTGTTGTAAAAGTTTTTTTCGTATGAATCCTCCTAACGTTTCATGAGTGCGTGTTCGATCTAGACATGAAATGTCCACGTAAAGCTGAAGCTGAATGTGTCCGTTACCTGGGCATGTGTGTCATAAACAGCAGATCTGAAAAAAAGCATGCTGTTCTTGGCTACGTCTAATCTACAGAGGTAAGTAAGCTATTTACAGAAACTGTACATTGCGCATGAAGCTGTCTCTGTGGTCCTCTGACTAGTTCAAGACAGATGTCAGCAAATTGCAATGCACTAAAATAAAATAAAAAGTAGCTATAAAATGGGGCCTACAGTGATAATCTATCCTAAAGCATGAATGCAGATCAGTGCTAAAGTTTCCGATCTTGGCTTAATGTAAGCAGAAAACAGATTTTTTTTCTTATTTTACGCAAAGTTAAAGTGGCCAGAGCATTCGATATGCGTCACACGGGTTGTGATTCAATAGAAAACAAGAGAATGCTTTCTGGAAAATGTTTAAAGGCAAATTCACACTGCACCGACAGACGGCGACCAACGTGGACAACCACCATATTACAAGTACGCCACTTCTCAGACATCCGGCGTCAAATAAAATAAAAAACGAGAGCCAATCAAAACACACTGTTGCTGTCTCTCGGATTTCTCGGTGCAGTGTGAATTGGCCTTTATTTTTGAGATTAATGCTATGTGCTGTGGAATCAGTATTAGCATGCTTGCTGCTTATGTACAACAGTGCGAGATCTAAACACAGGTGGGAGAGGTAGCGAGATTAATCGCTCTGTTCCTCCCCTGTGTACGATGGCAGGGAGTCTAAAGCTTCTCCGTTGCATCGCGATGTGGGATCGGGCTGTTCGGGCACTGGGACGTGGAGAACAGGCTCAGCTGGTGGTGGGGCGGCAGCGGCCGCTGCTTCCACAACAGGGGTTTCTGTGCTGGCAGAGGGGCTTTCAGCAGTACTCGACTGGGCTGTGGAGGCCTCAGATGGAGCCTGGGGGTTTTCCTGAGCTCCTGCTGCAGGGTTGGCCACTTCTGGTGCAGCTGCTGCTCCTGCCGCCTGATGCTCTGGTGCCCTGAGACGCTTCATCATGGTCGTGACCCGTACGGCTTTCTGCAGGAAGGTGATGATCCAGATTACATTTAAACAAACTCAACTTTAAAAAAAATAAATAAATAAAACATAAAAGTGTCATTAAGGGTAAAATGCTTTTAGAAATTACCTTCCACTTGGCTTTTGCAAAGTTTTTCTCGATTTGTGCACACACATTTTCCTTGATGTTCTTGTCGGAAGCAGCATTTCCAGATATCCTTTAATAGTACAAAAAGCTTATTATTGTTTATATATGTATATATATATATATATACTGCCATTCAAAAGGTTTTTTGAAAGAAACTAATACTTTTATTCAGTAAGGATGGAGTAACTTGATCAAAAGTGTCAGTAAATTTATAATGTTACAAAATACTTCCATTTAAAAAAAGCTGTTCTTTTACTATTCTTTCAGAATCCTGGGAAAAAAAGACTATGGTTTCCACACAAATACAAAGCAGCACAACTTTTTTCATTATTAATAATAAGAAATGCTTCTTGAGCATTAAATGAGCATATTATAATGATTTCTGAAGGATCATGTGACACTGAAGACTGGAGTAACATTGCTGAAACTTCAGCTTTGACATCACAGGAATAAATTAGGTTTTAAAAAAATATTTTTTAAATATTAGGTTTTAAAAAAAAATTTAAATAGAAAACTGCAATTTTAACTGACATTGTACTAAAACCTAGTTTTTCTGATCAAATAAATGTAGCCTTGGTGAGCATAAGATACTTCTTTGAAAAACATTTGAAAAAATCTTAATTTTGAATTGTATTTTATACCCCAAAACCTTCTCTGAATAGTTATAAATACCAATATATTGAGTAATTGTCAAAGTATATTGATACTATAAGTACCATTCATGGTTAATGGCTTCTTGAGCAGTCAATCTCTGGTCCTGGTCCACCTCCATAAGACGTGACACTAAGTTTTTAGCTGCGGACCAACAAAATGAAAGATGAAACCCAGTAAACACAACCAACCTTTCAAGTCTTATCTTTAAAATCAAGGTTTACAAAAGAGAAGTATGTGCTGTACTAAGCATGTGAGGTTTTATCAGTGCTCTTCAGTAAAAGTACCGGAGTCTGAAATGTCATCCCAGTAAGGTGAGTCAAACTCATAGTCTCCAGCAAGAATCTTCCGGAAAAGGTTCTTGTCATGGTTTTCATAGTCATCCTCATCTGCTTCATCGTAGAATGGAGGATTTCCCGAGAGTCTGTGCATGAGATGGGGAAAATCATTACAAACTGTGAGAAGGGTCTGGATAGCGGTAGTCTGACGCATATTGCTCATAAAATGAGCACAATATTGGCATTTTTTAAATTATTATACAGATTTTGTGGAGACTGCAGAAACATTATGTGAATTAGATATTGCTTTATTAACTCTCATCTATTACTGCAGTATCATCAGTTTCAAATTTACTCCTCAGACAGACAATTTTTGCCGAAGTAGGTGGTTCTGTACCACTTCAGCTGATAATCAAAAGTCTAGCTGTGGAAGAGTAGAAGAAAATAAAAGTATTATGAGCGCCTGTTTATAGGAGAATACACTCACAGTATGTACATGATCACACCAAGAGCCCAGCAGTCCACAGGTCGGCCATATCGCTGTCTCCCAACAACCTCTGGGGCTGGTTGGAAAAAAAGAGGAGGTCAAATCATTTACAGAAACACACATGCTCTGGTTACCATAGTTCACTATTCTAATTTGAACAACTTATGCCCATGTAAACAGAAGTCTTGTAAGAAAATTCTGTTTGCTTGCTCTATAATCTTGTTGTTTTCGTTGTTCCTCAATAAAGACCATCTGTTGCATCTGCCCCCACGAGTGTTCAAAGAGTTTCTTACCCAGATACTCTGGGGTTCCACACGGCTCCTTGATGAGTCCATTCTCCAGTTTTGCCAGATGGAAATCACTGATGACTATTTTTGAATGTTTCAGTCGGTTGTAGTACACTAGATTCTCAAGCTAGAGGGAATGAGAATGACAAAATGACATGCTGCTTTGTGAAATTCTTGAGTTTCAAAACAACTGATGTAAAACAAACAACATTCTGGAGTGAAATTTAGGAACACGGTTTACTAAATAAGGATAATTATTAGTGAATGTATATAAGATTTAGATATAGCACAACTATGTGTAGTTATTTGTCAGTAAGCATGCGTGTTTGATGTTGATAAAAAGACATGACACATGATCTAAAAAAAATCCTTATTTTTTTTAGTATCGGATTTAAACATGTTAAATATACATATTTAAATATGTGAAATATTCCCGTGATGATATTCAATATTTTGTTTTGTTTTCCAGTAAAATGATTCTTTCCCCAATAGAAAATTGTAATAATAAAGCGTAATTTGCAAAAATAATCGTAATTCAACGTAATTTCTCTGAAAACAAATCTAATTTACTCATCTTGTTTAAAGGATGTTTGATGCTAGACAAGAACATTTACTGATTAAGAAAGTTTTTTTTTTCTCAGTGAACAGCAATACAAAATTTGATACATATTTGAAATTGGAGATGTGTCTAAACTCACTGTCAACTGATATAAATATCAATATTTAGAGATTGATAAACATATTGACAACAAACTAAATCTAATTTCATCGCATAAAAAAAAAATTAAAGTGCGAACATTTTGGAAACCAAAACAGAACTGAGTACAGGGTTAATTCGTTATAAAGTATTTGTGTGCTAGTGTCCACCAGAGGGCGCATTGCGACGTACCTTTAGGTTCCTGTGAACGATCTTCAGGCTGTGCAGGTAAGCAGCTGCCTCCATCACCTGTCTGATAACATTGCTTGTGTCCCTCTCAGAATAATAGCCTTGATCCAGGATCCAGTCAAAGACCTCGCGACCTGTGGCTCTGCAAGAAACCACACAACGTGCTGAGCTGCTTCTTCTGTGCATTTATGAATTATTCACACCCTGCTTTAAACGTTGGCACCTTCAAAAGCTTTACTTAATCATGCAGGTGTAGCAGACACAAATCAGCCAGTCCACGCCACACATACAGCGTACAGAAGGGACGAGGCATTAAAATAATGAATGCAAATCCAAACAGACAGGTAGGAATGTGACAAGGACGAGGCGGTATAATCGTGCTAGGACAGTCTGAGCGCAGGGTTTATTTCTCTTATGTCTCAGGCAACAGCAGCAGCGGATTTAGCCTCTTGAAGTCAGTATCAACATTATAGAAGAGAACCTATGTCGCCAAACAACCTATGCCGGAGGAATTTTGGTTTCTTTTTTTTTTTAATTCATTGTTTTGCCCTTTGCATCCACACGTCATCTGAGAAACAGGCAGTCAAATGCACTTCTGGGTCAAAACGTTTGTCTTAATTGGCAAAATATTAGTGTACACAGATTCAGAATGTAAAGTTATGGGGCAAAATGTCTGATATTTAAAAGTAGATTTGTGCATTGAACATCACAGTGTAAATACTGCCAAATAGACCTGCCAGTCTCAAATATCATCAATAATAATCAAACGACAATATTCCCAAGAAAATAAAATTGCTCTCATCTGTATAATTTTAGATTATAACTATAACCCTTATAAAGCCAACTGTATCTCTACTAGCAAGTTCTCTAAACGATCAACATGATCAGAACCTCTGTCGTCTGATTGATATTTTATACTTTTATAGGAAGTAAAAAGCCTTTTAGTAATATTTTTTTTTAAATGATCCTCTACAGGTCATGGCACACGTCTTTTTGCTGTGAAATATTTAAAGATTTTTGTAAAGTAAACAAAATATTAACTTATATATTGATAGTAATATTTCAAGATAAACACTAACTAGACTGCAGAAACTTTGGTTTAGTTGATTATCCAAACATATTTATAAAAATAATGTTAAAATGTGAGTATAAATATATTAAAACAGGCTTTTGGGGAACATTTATTTGTACTTCTCTCAATTATCATTGTATTGCATTTTATTATACTGTATATATACATTATTTGAAAATACCTGAGGCTATGCCTTTTAACATATAGTTATGCATAAATATTGAACTTTTTTTAAATGGTTAAGTAAACTATTTCAAATGAGTATGTTGAAGAGCAAATTAGTTGAGAACTGAGAAAAATACCAACTACTTAAATCTTTACACTCATCTCTGTACAGTAAAGAACTATTATAATCCTTATAAACTGATTTCAGGGCTTACAGCTCAAGGAAGAGGTAGTACTCTTTCCGGGTTTCGTAGACATCGACCAGCTGGAGGATGTTGGGGTGTTTCACCCTGGGGAGGAGAGATGGACAAACAGTTAAGAGACAGTTTGCAGCACATCCGAGGCTGATAAACATACAGCGTCATGCCTAGATCCACCCTGTCCCACAATCAACCCCCACACTCGTGCCCCATCTGTCACCGCAGACTCAATGCCTGTATTTGCATATTGCATGGGTTCCTATATCCGCTATAATCATATTTAATTAAACAACAAATGTCAGTATTACCATTAATGCTCTGTGGCTGAATCCCATCTGTTCAAATCAACATTTATGCATGTATATTTTGTGTAACTGTCAAATATGCCAGCCTGAGTAGAAGGCTTCACCAGCTGAGTCTCCCAAGGTTTCTTCTTCATCTACTAAATCTTGAGGAGATTTTCTTGGCCACTCTTGCCTTTAGCTAATCACTGTGGTGTTTGTAATGCATTGCCTTTGAATATACTGAATAGCAGATGTAACTGAAAGTTTCCATGAAACTTCCCTTAGAGCATATTACATTTTATATCACGCACGTATAATCGTATGATTTCATTAATTATGCAATAAGAGACTGTTTGAGAATTTTGTAAAGGTGGTTATGTCAGCCAACTTTTAAATTAAGATATTAATACACTGATTATGCTTTAAAGACACTAATGTGCACTTCTGCCAGCAAAAGAGAGGGAAACCAAAGGTGAACTCGTAAAAAAGATCCCTCATTCTAATAGTGACATTTCTTTTATGTGTTTTTCGTGAGCTGTTGTGATTTGTGAGCGGGAACACAAACGCCGCACCGCAGGATCAAAGTGACATCAGTGACTCACGGTAGATCAGCCTTTTAGATGCAGTATAATCATATATAATCAAACACTGATGCAAAGCATTTATATCTAATATCTTAAGGCTTTGACATGTTTGGTATATTAAACTAAATTCATTGCATCATTAGGTGGTTAGTGTACTTTCCTGTTCTTTGAGAGGACTGAAAATCTCGATAATGAACACTGGCTACGTATAGCTCCACAAAGTCAATAAGCTTTTTGTTAAAATCGACTGTGTGGATTCCACTTTTTACAGAATTAAAGCAAATAAGCAATTTGCAAGCTATATTATATGGGTTTTTGAAGCCGACGTAAGAGTATGTTCAATGCAAAACCTCAAATATCTGTGCCATTAAACTGGATGTGATTTTATTCTAATCATGCTTCTGTGTAGTAGCTAGAAGTTTGTACTCATAGGTTTGTATGAGTGTGAAACAGGCGTTTGCATAAACGACAACAAACAAAGTTAAGTCTGACACAGAGAAAGGGATTCGTCTTTGGGAGAAAAAGAAGAAATGACATTTGGAAAAACTTTCATTTCATCATGTGTATAGGCTACTTCGATCATGTTTGGTTGGTAAAATAAATATGTTGTAAAATCAAATCAGAGCATCTACTGTGTCTGGAAAGGATGCATTCTTGAGTCTATAAGGTAACAGTAATATAATAAGATAACTATAACAAGATAACATTGTTTGAAATGGGTTTTGCTAAAATAAAATTTTGGTTTCGTCTTTACTGCTAGTTAGGCTATTTATACTATATTGACTGGGTTAAATATAATTGCATTACACACTATAAAAAATATTGATGGTTTAACTTAAAAAAGTAAGTAACCTAGGTTGCCTTAAAATTTTAAGTTCATTGAACTGGAAAAAGTGAGTTAATACAATGAAGGAGAATGATTTAATCATCAGAAACTCAAAATTATATGCTATCTGAACTAAACAAATTATTTAAGTTGATTTGACAAAAGAAAAAATGTTGTGATTACTAAAATGTAAAAAAAATATTGTAATTTGTTGGTTTAACTTAAAAAGTAAGTAACCTGGGTTGCCTTAACATTTTAAGTTGATTGAACTGGAAAAAGTGAGTTAATAGAATGAAGGAGATTAATTTAATCATCAGAAACTCAAAATAATAAGTTATCTCAACTAAATAAATTATAAAGTTGATTTGACAAAAGAAAATATGTTGTGATAACAAATCTTGAAAATCTTTTTTTACAGTGTAAACAGAGACTAAAATACAATTTTTCATTGATTGAAACTAGACTATGTCTTTCGGCGACTAAAATTAGACTAAAATGTCATAAAACTAGACTAAAAAGAGTATGAATGTGACTAAAACTAATAAAAACTAAAATAACAGCTTGACACAAAGACTACAACTAAAATTAAAACAGGCCGCCAAAAATAACACTAGAAAACAGTTGGCATTTTTAAATCTCTCTTCTTTTTTTGGGAGTTTCAAAAGTGACCAGCACAATGAGGATATGTGAGCTTTAGCGATACACAAATCATTCCAAAGGAATTACAGTGTTTAACTGACCTTTAAGAATCATTATTCATAAAATATGATTCTCTTTCCACCAAATGAAATCAAAAGAGCAGATCAGAGCACCGCAGAGGAAGCTGCAGTCTACAAAACGATTGTAAAGGTTTTTGAAAAAGAACTTAAAACTCACATCTTTAGGATGACAATCTCATTTTTGGCAGCCTTCCGCACTTTTCTTCCATCTTTCTTCAGGAATTTTTTGCAGGTGTACATTTTCAGAGTGTTCTTATCCTTCGCCCTGAAGATCTCACAGAACTCCTCCCTTGAGAAGAAATACATTATAATTGATATTGACATTATAGAACAGTTAATCCAAAATGAAATTTCTATTAACTCGACATAGAATTACTGCATGAGCTCTTAACTTAAATAGCTCTATTCTGATTGGTCAATGACATTCAGCTGTTAAACATTTTGTATAACTGACCATTGTCCTTGACTACCATACTATACTAGTTTCATGTCTCTCATAACACTCTACAGTCTCACATAATCAAATAATTTAAACTGAAATCAATATTTTATATTTATTTATTTAGAAAGTAGTCAAATAATTAGAAGCATAATGTGCAGTCAGTCAATCGTAATTGCAAAATAAACCCCTTCAGATTATACTGAATTAACACATTTTGTGATAATCATGGCTGACTGCATGAACAGAACAACTTTTGCAACTGCAACTTAGATACACAAATAAAGAGGACTGATTACACAAAAACATATTTCACTTACGTTTTAACAATCTGCCCCAGATCATATTTGTCTGTAATTTCTGTAGGACTATTGTAGTCCTTCTTCTCGCCAGGATTTAAACAGCCGAATGGCATGGCCCACCCTGCCCTTGAAAGAACCCGAAAGAGAGAGAGAGATTAGATCCATTTAATTCCAGTTATCAACTCTATTAATTCACTGTACATTGTGTGGATATGTATTACTCAGTCACACCAATTATTCTGGATTAATATGCATGTTCACTTCATATCACATTCTGTGACATTTTTCATTCCGAAGGGAAATAACAACTGTGCATAAACACTCCCCTTTGACATTCACAAACAAAACAAATTCAGTAACAATGAGCACTGCTATGGGATTCGTCTCTCTGCCAATCTAATTCCAAATAGAACAATATTTATGGAACTTATGAAAAAATGTGCTGCACACTTCACAATGTTATGGTGTTCTGGGTAGTTTGATATTGTGATATATAATGTGTTGCTGTTTTCTGTGCTCTGGTTGGTTGGTTGGTAGGGTGGTTGCTTACCTCTTTATGATAATCTGCTATCAACATCTAGCCTATCGCAGCAAACACAGAACGTTCCACTAACGTTCCCGAATGGTCCCATAAGGTTATTTTTTGGGAACCAAACAAAACCTTATAGGAACGTTCCATGTATGTTATTTTTAGGTTCCATTTTTATAACGTAAGAAAAATGTTCCGGGAATGTTCCCTTAACCTTAAGGGAAAGTTCTACAAACGTTCTGGGAACCAAAAACTAACGTTCCCAGAACCTAAATTTGTTTGCTGGGATGACCCTATTTCTGTGCAAGTCTATGGGATAATAATAATAATATTAAATAAATAAAAAAATTGTGCTTTTTTTTTAAACAGCTTGGAAGACATTTCATGTATAGCCAGTCCTTTGACTAAATGTTATAAAGATCAATCCAGGATGAAACATGACTGGATTGGTGAAACAACACCAGCCAATGAGATTTAACCTGGCAATTCAATCCAGCTCTTGCTAGTTTTGTGTGCAATATGCATCAGACGGTCACAGTGAATGGGTTACGGCTGGTTGTGGGTGTGCAATTTGAAACTAGTCTAGAAGACATACGGCCCAACACTAGAAAATTTTTGAACAGCTGACTTAATTATTTCATCATCAGTAATGTATGAGCACTACAAGGTCTACAGAGTATATACTGTATATACTAAAACAAAAGTAATAATCCAAACAGAGAAAGGCAGGAGATAATTTACACACACAGTCAAGCAGAAAAAGGACAAGCTTTCTGATTTACTGCACATCCTCTGACACACAGATTGTCTCCTCTGTTTCTCTCCCTCTCTCATATTGTACGTTTCCCCTCTCACTGCGCTCCACTTCATCTTGTTCCTTCCCTCTTTGTTCAGTTTTGTAAACCTATATATAATGCTAAGAAGTTTGTTATGTAAGTGATGAAGCTCTTTGCTCTATGATTAATTACACTTCAGTTTGCTATGTACGTTTCCTTAAAGGGATAGTACACACCAAAATAAAGATTCTGTCACCATTTACACTTTTTATGTTGTTCCAAACCCATACGATTTTCCTCGACTGTGGAAGACAAAAGAATACATTTTGAAGAATGCTCAAGTTGCTGTAATTTATACAATGAAAGCATATTTAAGTAATTTGTGTGGCCGATCATAAAGAGGGTCTTTCACCATATTTTACTAATAACATGAATGTATGGCATTACAATTATAAACTAATTATTTAAATATTATTTAAATTGCATGTGTTAACACGTTAACTTTGATCTTATGTAGATGCACTTTCTCTATTGATTTCCCAGTATGGCACTATGTAAGGTTCCCAATGCTGGGCTGTGCTCATAAAGCACATTTACAGCACACTCTCTCCACTTCATATGCTTTGATATTACTAACACAGCATAATGGGCAGTTTGGCACAAGCACAGAATGTGTATAATGTATATGAAGCTTTACAGTCAAGGAATCTTTGGAAGAGGGCAGACATGTTGATCGATACACTGAGATGGTTTACAGCGGCCTGTGTGCTCTAGCCAATATCATCAGCTTCTTTATCATCAGTCATTTTCTATTGAAAGAACAAAATATTTTAAAATGCAGGTTGAGAGCAAAATTTCTCTAGCTTATTAATTACATTAATGCTTCTAATTTCTATACAATATATAATATTATTATATAGCACACATTATATTAATATTTATCAACTCAAGGATAAAGTACAGTTTATGTTCAATGAAAATAAATGCTGTACTTCTTGCTGAGTTGTTTTTTTATGCTAATCCTTAAATGCTAATGTCTAATATATTGATTTTCTGTGAGAGTTTTCATATTTGAATAAGCATTTTGTACTTCTACTCCATGCTAATATTTAAATGGTGATGTAAAATGGCATATATTATATATAATAAAATGCTGTTGCGCATTTGAAAAGATGATACACAAATAAAGCAATTTGTCTTAAATTTCCTGGCCTGGTTTCATCTCTCCAAAGATGCAATTGCAATAATGTACAGTAATTCATAAAACATTTTGAATAATTGCAAGACCAGTCCCTCTTCAAATGTATCAGGGTCTACAGAGCTTTCCACTCTTTCAAGAAGCGTTCCTCTGTGCAACAAGCAAAGAACTTAATTGGCTGAAAACTCTTGAGGTTTTTGGAGAAGCGAAGAGAGCAATAGGAAGCAATAGAAACAGACCACGTGAGCGTCAGAGCGAGCGAGCAGGAGGAAGATTACAGCGGGGTAGAACTGCATTCTGCAACATCATCTCCAGCTCCTCATTACCGCCTCTCGAAAGAAATCAGAAGATCCACAACTTAATACGAAACTGAAAACTTCTAAGAAAAAAGAAATGAAAGTTCCTTTGCTTTCCCAAGGGCACCGTGAATGCTAATTAAACCCAGTGGCTAGTACATTAGACTCGGTTTCAACCTTTCTGCAGACCGTAGAGAAATACAAAAAATAGAAACTAGAGGAGATGAAACGATAATAATCTCATGTAGGGAATAAGCAAGGGAAGGAGAGAGAAATAAGAGATAGTCTTGCTACACACATCAATCATGAGTCAGGAGGATTGATAAAATGACAAGAGACAAAAAGAGAAGACAATAGTATTCATTGTTCACACACCAGCATCTGCGTCTCTCAGGAAGGGTGGTTTGCAGCTAGTAATCGAGCATCTTGTGTATCCTGCGGCATTGTGCTACCCGACCAGCTGAAACTTCACTCTCATAATAACACCATCTTTTTCAGTTTTTCAGAGCTGGCAAAATCTGTGCCTCCCTCCATCAGTCCCATCTGCCTTTAGTTTGTACATACATGACATCAGGTTGGGCCACGGATAGGCCGAGACGGAGATCGCTGAGCTTCTGATGGCCCACAGATTGGCTTACAGCAGGTGGTTTAGACATCTGATCCAGAGACGCTTTGAGATCCTACTGCACACTGAGTTGGGTCAAATTAACTAGGGATTGGTTATACCATTAAATGTGGCAAAAATCCACTTGATATTTTAAATGTTTTTTTTTTTCTAACGCCATGTCTACACCAGATGCGAGCAGCGCGATGCCACAAAAGCAAATAGAATCCATTATAATCAGTGTTGCTGTCTACACTGGATACGACATGACGCTGCGTGACACACAAATTCCCGACATTAAACTGATGCTCACTTCTATTTCTGATGTATTTCAAGCTCTCACGCTACTTCCGACATGAAGAACAAATGGATTTGCAAAGGTCGCTTCGTCACGCCCAGTGTGAACAGCTTCAAGCTGGTGTAATGGTGTAACATCTAATATACTACACAATATGCATGCGAGCCTATCTAGTTTAGCCGAGACAGTATTTGATCTGTCGCTGTCAGATATCTCTGTTCTTCGTCTCAGAAAATGGTGTTTTTGATCTATTGCTAATATCAAATGGTTTTTAACAAGATAACATAAACATTTAAAATACTCCTAAAACCTCAACCAGCAAAACACTGATATGATTCAACAGCTTAGTGATGAAAATGTAATGGTAGCCAATAGGGATTGGCCAATTCTAAGTAGATGGCTCATACTTATTATTGTAATTGTAAAAGTAATAAAATCCATTTAGCGATTTATCATGCACATACTAGAGATATGACTAATATCTCAAAATCATGTAGATTGTTGAAGAGTTAAAATAATTTTTTAAGCAGATTATGATTTTCCTTTTATGTGTGATATATGGGCAAAAAAATCCCGTTATTTAATTTTATTTGATAAAAGTTAGAGCCACAATTGTTATGAATAAAGTAATTGAAATAAATACTGTAAGTAACAGCATAATAAATACATGAATTAATACATATTTAAATAAATCAATTTCCAGGGTGCAAATAGGCCCCACTAACACAAAGTTTAGACTGGACGAGATTGAACTGAAGTATAAATATTGTTTGTGCCAGGCCTCTAGGTGGCCCTTGAACATCACTGACACGTCTCTGAAGACTTTGTCTAGCATAGTTGTCCACTGATTTAGTCTTTAGTCAATGTGACTCTCAAATCTCATCTCTAAACAGCTTCCCCTGGCACATTCTTACTTACAAATCTGAGTAAAAATGTGAGTATTGATAAAGGAGCATCTGCTGTCATTTGGGCTTCACTCTATCCTGTTTGGGCATTGGAGTGTTTTTCAAAGACTTTCTGAGGCCAGTTTCAAACGCGATGAGATGTTTGTGTCCGGCACAAATAGAGTGCCTGTCTCCGAGAAGCTCCAATCTTCAACGCATTGTTGGGCCAACAGAGGAACACACAAAATAATGAGCAGGGTGAAATAAGAGAGGAGCGCTCTATCAATTATTCCTGTCTAGTGCAGCTCTCTGACAGTTTCTCGCAAGCTGGGAAGTTTCACGACTGCTCCTCTCAGTTATTCCCTGTGCATTGTTGAACAACGGCTCCTCCGATTCCTCATTGTTATTCCTTTCCTCTGCATGGCTTTCTCTCCTTCTCTCTCCTTTGGCTGTTTGTTTTGCAGTGGTGCATACTCCACTATTACTGATCATTTTGTTGTTCATGCAACATACAGCATACACAAACAACACCTTTGTGGTT